CTATCTGTTCATATCTGTGTATCTATCCTCAATTTGTTCATATTTATCTATATTTTACATGTTCAATTCTATCAATCTATTTATCTATATATCTTTTACTAGCAACATAGCCCGGCGTTGCCCGTGCTTGATTCAAAAATCGTACCACTCATACAGCAATCGCTATCACTTGACTTAAAATATTTTTGCCCTTCCTTGCCTTTAAAGGAGTGCCCTTTGCCGTGCTGATGTTGCTACATGCCTTACTTCTTGCCTATCTCACCCTACGAATTTTTTATAAGCTCTATACTAAACATTAAATCTGTTACAAAAAAGAACTAAACAAAATGAACACAAAACAATCAGCTTTAAAAAAGGACTCGTAACCGGAAAAACCGAATGAAAAAGTTAACAACAATTACTTTTTCACACCCAACCCAGTTCTGAAGAATCAGAATCAACGTTGAGTTTAAGCAAGCGAATGAGCCAATTGAAGTAAAGTGCCATGCAGATTTAAATTTTTCCCACTTGTGACGAATGCAGCTATCGATTTTTTTTTGCATGCTAGTTAACATTTGTGTCAGTCAGCTGTTGGCTCTCACGCTGGCCAATAGAATCTTCCTGCCTATTCGTGGCAGCCAGCTATAGACTCTTACTCTGGCCAGTAGAAAATAGCCGCAAACTACATGAAAACTGCCGTAGAAGCATGAAAAAATCGATTATTTCCACTATCGATGGGAGTTGGGAAATGCAAAGTTGGTCTTGGCCTTACTTGGAGCCTGTGCATGTAAATTTTGGTGCAAATCCGTCGGAAATTGCGGCCGTGCATTCGTTAAACTCACACACACACACACACACACACACACATCCTGCCTTTTATAGATAGATATATCTTCAAATCTATCATTTATATCTTCAAATTTATCTTTTATATCTTCAAATGTATCTATCTATTTATCTATCTATCTTTCTATCTATGTATCTTTTATATCTTCAAATCTCTCTCTCTCTCTCTCTCTCTCTCTCTCTCTCTCTCTCTCTCAATCTATCTAAGCTTGTTTCTATCGATCTGGAATTAGGAACAAATTAAATGACCTTCGATCCACAAAATTTGAAGTGTCACAACTCAAACGCAAGTACATTAATTAATGAGAATTAGAAATGACGTAAAGTTACCAGAGATCAGCCAGTGAATCGCAATCTTTAGGAGTCATGCCCAGTAATTTAGGCAGGGGAAGCATTGACCTCGATGCCTAAAAGCATTAAGTTTGCCGGGTGGGGTTTGTCATATATGGAGGTCTACCAATTTTTGTTCATTATAGGCACCTTTTGGTTCCCGACTGCCTCAATTACAAAGCACACTGGTTGGTTGGTTGGTTGGTTATTTGGTTTTACGGCATATCAACCTCAGTAGGTCATTTAATGCCGACAGATTTGGAATGGATTTTAGAATACTTCTGTAGAATATATATATATATATATATATATATATATATATATATATATATATATGTAATCGACTCTCCCGTCGAACACGGCGTATGAGTGTCAAGCAGATCAGTTCCCAGGACAGCCCGACGACAGCACATGGGATTTAATTATAGTGGTGAAGGTTTCGTGCAGGACCACAGGGTCCTAGGTTTTCAATTCAGAGTTGTCTTTCTCCTAGACCAGTTGCCATCAAAGGCTATAGAACCCAGTCTGCCCTGCGATTTATCCATATCTGGAAAGAGAAGAAGAGAATTCACACATTTCCCAAGGGTATTAGCACGTAAGTCAATGTAATGGATTCGACTGGAATTCGAATTCGGCTCTCCGATTCCTCAATCCAAGCCGCTGCCATTACTCCACCGTGCCTCATACATATATATATATATATATATATATATATATATATATATATATATATATATAATCTTCGAATTTTAATCAAATCAATCTCGAAGGAAAAAAAGGTTTTAAAAAAAGAAAGAGCTGGAAACATGAAAGTCTGCCGAAAAATCGCACAGATGCAGGTTCAAAGCCCAAAGAAAAAACACTGACACGAGTAAACACCTAACTAAAAGAGCTCAATACAACCGTAGAGCAGACCTAGATAAACCTAGTGAGACAGACAAACCTACCCAGGTTTCACTTAAGCAGATCGTCAGGGAGCTACCCAGGTTTCACCTAAGCGGATCGTAATGGGAGAGCTGGCTCTCCCTGACGATCCGCTTAGGTGAAACCTGGGTAGGTTTGTCTGGCTCACTAGGTTTGACAATATATATATATATATATATATATGCAGTAGTATTCGGCCACTCATATTTTTGAGTACATTCCAGTCATAAAGCACACTTGTACTCCGCCAGATGTCCTAGCACATATTAAAGCGTGCTTGCGAGTAAGTTGCCAAATTATTTCTTTCTTTTTTTTTTTAAGCGTTTCACCCCAAGCAAGGCGGGAAGCCACTAGGACGCAAGGGGTTACAGAAAATTTGGGACAAGATCAGATAGGAGTGATAGAAGAAAGGATGAGGAAAAGGGTAGTGGATAGATCAAGGCAACTGGAGATGTCGATTGACATTACATTTGAATAGCTGGAGATTATAATTCTCAGGGAAACTAGAATAAGGAAGGGAGTTCCACAGGCGAGAGGTGCCAGACATGAAGCTATTGCAGTAGAAGAGACGGCAACATTTAGAAGTTTCGAGAGTGAAGGGGTGAGAGCGGGATGCCAGCCTCGTCGGGCGGTTAAACTCATGAAGTCTGGGAACCAGCGAATGCAGCAATTGCCATGAAAGTATTTGTAGAACAGACAGAGAGAGGCGACGGCGCGTCTGTGAGAAAGTGTCTATGGGCGAGATGCCAGACCAGGTCCAATTATATTGCATATCCGCCTCTGGTGCCTATCTAGAACCCCGAGGCAAACAGAAGGGGCTCCAGACCATATATGGCAGCAATACTCCATGCAAGGGCGAATTTTAATACGATAGTAGATCGCGCAGTTGTACATTGAACATTTTCAGAAATTTTTTTTTGTTTTACCTTTAAGCCCTTATTTATTAATAGATGAATAAAAAGCCCTAGAAAAAAAATTTGTTCCATCTCAAGTTTCAAAGATCCAACCCAGGCGGCCAACTTGTATTTTGTTAGAAGTTAACGATCACACACACACACACACACACACACACACACATATATATATATATATATATATATAAAAGTGAACATAGAAGTCAACACTTAGAGGCGACAGTCTGTTTCATATATATGCAATCGTCCCAGGCCACATATGCTGTTATTACACATAATAACAGCATATGGCCTGACGATTGTATATAGCATGAAACAGACTATTGCCTCTAAGTGTTGACTTCTATGTTCACTTTTATATTTACACACGCTCTATCTCTGATATTGAGCACTTTTATCCCATAAATATAGCACACCTTAAGACTATATTTCTTTTATATATATATATATATATATATATATATAATTATTACTTTAAAATTATTTTAGTGACTGAAACTGTTTTCGTAAACGTCACAATGTGAACTACATCTATCGGCACGTGTATTCGCGAGTGTTAATAAATGTGCACTTGTTGTTGCCTTGTTAGGGCCAGAAATAAAAACTCAAAGAGAGGAATTGAGTTAAACAAATATATTAACAGAAACAGTAATACAAACATATACAAACGAGTGTGTTACAGCAAGAATGTTCAGTCCGACCGTCAGAGCTGACTGCTGGAAACTTCCATCTCCAAAAGGCAGTACCTGCTCCTATTTATAGCTGGGAGAGTCCATGCGTGCGTGGGTAAATTACCATAACAGAACGCCAACAGGATTTGAGTCTTTGTAGTCAATACCAGTGTCTGATCTTCTCTCCTTTAGGGTGCTTAGCCACAAAGGAACTCACCGACCTGTCAGGTCCAATTAAACTTTTACTCAAACACGTGTATCCATTAAAGTAATAAGAAATAATGTCGGATTAAGAACCAAGTTCATTAATTTTCGTATATATATATACATACATATATATATATATATATAATGTTGTGAGAATGGATGAGCAGAGACTTCGAAAAAAGGTTCTGTATGAACAACTATCAAACTCCAGGCGTTCAGATGGTCGTCCACTCTTACGCTACAAAGACAAATTGAAAGACAACTTGAAACGTTTCAACTTTGATCTGAAAACCTGGGAAGCCCAAGCATAAAACCGAAACGAGTGGCGTAAGATATGTTTCGTTATGTTAAAAGGTTTTGAAGTCAGTAGACTGAAGCACCGTGATCGACTCTGTCAAGCTCTGAAGTAGAGACGCCATCAAAATCCTACTTTAAAAAATGGCATCTATCAGTGTCGGTTTTATCGCCCGCAGCAAGGCTGGGCTAGTATCGCACTTAAGAAAGCACACATGAAATATGTTTTTCCCCTAGCCTACATAAGTGTAAAAACGAAAGGCACAATCCAATATTGACCCTCATTTATCGATCACGATAGAGAGTCCACTATATATATATATATATATATATATATATATATATATATATATATATATATAATCGACTTGTGTTTCAATAGAAGTGATTGGCAGACGCTTGAATGAAGTGAGTTACATTTCTTCTTACAGTCTTCGCCCACGAAACACAAACACGTACATGAATATCCATCGGATTGAATATTTACTACATATACAGTGTATTGTTTCAGTCAAGATCTTACTGGTACAAGAAAAATGGTTTTCACGTGTTTTCATTAGTTAACAAGCTCCGATCTTTTATTTAGAAGGTTCTTGCTGGAGAATGTTTTAATACGGGATTTATCTTCTAAACATAATCCTCAAGTTGTGGACACTGACTAAGGAGTTTGTACTTAAGACTACATCATGTTGAAACTTTGGTTTCCGTACGATCACTGATGTTAAGCAACGTCGTACCTAGACACGTAGCCACTTACGAATACCTGGTGATGTAAGCCTAGATGTGCGGATGGTGTAATGGATAATGGCTCGGAATCGTTAATTGGAGAGTCGACTTCCGGTACGATCTCCGAAGTTAAGCAACGTCGAGCCTGGTCAGTACTTAAATGGGTAACCGACTGGGAATACCTGGCGCTGTAAGCTTGGATGTGCGGATGGTGTAATGGATAATGGCTCGGAATTGTTAATCGGAGAGTCGAGTTCCCGTACGATCTCCGAGGTTAAGCAACGTCGAGCCTGGTCAGTACGTAAATGGGTAACCGGCTGGGAATACCTGGTGCTGTAAGCTTGGATGTGCGGATGGTGTAATGGATAATGCCTCGGAATTGTTAATTGGAGAGTCGATTTCTCGTACGATTTCCGAAGTTAAGCAAAGTCGAGCCTGGTCAGTACGTAAATGGGTAACAGACTGGGAATACCTGGTGCTGTAAGCTTGGATGTGCGGATGGTGTAATGGATAATGGATCGGAATTGTTAAACATCGTCGTCGTCGGCTTTATCTCATATCCAAGAATTTAACTTCTTTTTTGCTGATCACCTCTTTTATGATGATGGCATTGATGACTAAATTCGTTTCCAACGTGCATGTTCAGTTCTAGAAGTTTCCAATTTCGCCAAAACCTGCTCCTGTCAGCCATTCCCTAATGCCGTTTGTCTTTGGATGAGTTGGTTGGAAGTGAATAAAATCAGAGTAGAAGAAATTGCGGATGTCGTGAATGTATTTAAGGTGGGCCTGAACTTGTCAGGAAGTTACCAAGACACTTGATTTCATGACATTCTTCTGCGTCAAATATGGAATCAGGCGCCTTATGTGGCAAATCCGTCATTCGTATCTCTCTTCATTCACTGGTTTAAGCGTTGGGATCTGTTGTAATCGTCATCTTCTTTTTCCACCGTTGGTATCTTCAGGGTTGGTCGCGCTTCGTTTCGGTCCTCGTCTTCGACTTTGAAGATGAGAAGAGATAGGCACTGATTATTTAAGCATTCCATGCCAAAATTCCAAACCAAGAAACCATAGTATACAACGATTCTGCTTTCCCGTTGAGGCCCATGGACACATGATAACGGGGTGGCTATGATGTCGACATAGATATTCATAGTTGAGCGAAGAATAATCCTGAACAAAAAATCAACATCCTTTTACAAAGTGTTCCAAGAAATATGGCTCAAGATAAAAATAGAAACTATGATCTGGAATTGGAATGAAAAAAGAATTGGCAAACGAAAGCCTGAATCTCTCATAAAAATTAAGAATGTCTAATTATGAAATACAGAATATTTCAAATTGATCGTTGATAACACTTTTGGTACAAGCGAAAATGAAGTTGAACATGCAATAGGTTGCGATAGAGAAAGTTTCCCACAACGCCGTAAATTGCTACAAAACCAAAATATTAACGTGAAAAACTCGAATCAGGTCCTTAAATAAATCGAAACTTTCATATAAATGCCATGCATGGCACCAAACCCGTTCAGAAATATCTAAACTGTCAGTTGTATACAACCGCTCTTTCAGATTTATGGCTAAAAACCGTTTTGACCAAAAGAATCCTGTGGGTCTTGTAGACTGGCACTAGAGAATCCCAGAAACCACATCACTTGAGGACTTTCAACGGCAGCAACAACTAAAATGGATAGCACATGTAACATGTAACAGAAAACAATGACATAATCATGATTCTGATGTTTCACATTACTTCAAATAAAATCTTAAGGCATCAATACTGGAAAGATCGCTAACAGCTACTGGATACGAGAAACCTATTTTGTTGAAAAATTGTTTCAAGTGAAAGAGTTTTTTAATTTTAATCTACAGTAATACTGGCTTGTGGGTTGATGAATACCAAATCTTGCCTTGTAATATTACCATTAACATTACTATTACCATATATATATATATATATATATATATATATATATATATATATATATATATATAATTATTTTAGGATATTAAAACAACAGGTAAAAATCTCTACACAATTGCAGTCATGTTTCGACGCATATCAATTGCGTACTGTTTGCATTTATTTAATACTCTAACATTGAAAAGATCATTGTCGGGATTTCGTTAAAAAACATTCCCATTACAAACAGACGTGAATATTTCGAAAAATTGGTTTTAAAGACTGAGAATCTTATTAGAAGAATGAAATGGAAGGTTCACTTCTTCCTTCTTGGACTCGCCAGTAATTTATAATCGGCTGAGGAGACGCACTGCTATGCGTCGAAGCCCGACTGCAATTTTGTAGCAATTTTTACATGTTTTAATATCTTAAAGTGAATAATATTGGTCTACTCTGTATTGAGCCCTCTTTTAAATAAAATGTATGTGCGTTTGAATTGTACTCTATTCGTTCTCATCTTACTTGGATATATATATATATATATATATATATATATATATATATATATATATATATATATGTGTGTGTGTGTGTGTGTGTGTGTGTGTGTGTGTGTGTGTGTGCATGTGTCTGTTTGTCTATATGTGTCCGTGTGTGATATCTTATGCCACCTGCATTCGAGTCCCTGCGGGCAAAATTTCAGCTTCTCTGACCTTTACTTTTACTGACACAACTATGCCTTGTTTTTGTAAGTTTCTGAATTCATTCAAAAATGCCTTTTCTGTTAGCGAGAAACAATTGCATTATTAAGCAAAGAATTTTATAAATTTCACTTCCAATTTATTTCAACAACTTCCGGTCCACAATCTGCGTGTTGTTTACTGAAAATAAGGAAATATATATTTCCGGGGAAAGGAATTAATGTAAACATTGATAAAATACTGTTGTTATATGTATAATATACACTTATCCGGTATATTTTTTAGCGTTAAACAATACTAAATAAATATCTGTTTCGTAGGGAAATTTTAACGTTTTTACTATGCGAAAGACGTCAATAGCTAGGAGAGCTCGATTCCAGTAGAAGAGCATTGCATTAGCAGCAGCAGCCACTGTATAAAAAATCACACCTTCCTCTCCGAGAGCTCAATTGAATTATTTCGAGAGCATAGTTATCCACAGACAGATGTTTCGCTGTATCACAGCTCATCAGTGTGCCTAGACATCCGATTGCTTCAAGCCGGGATCGAAACCCGACCGATTTGACATCAGAGAATCTACCCAGAGATTATATATGGGAAGCAGTTTTTCTTGTATCCATGTTTTATCGAATATGAACAACGAGGAAAATTTAATAATTTTTTTATTCATTTGTTTTAATTTTCTTAATTTTTTCCGCTATGGGAACATAGAGTTTGTTTGTTCATAGTGATTATTGTCCTCAGGGCTTTCGAATATTACATTAGCTATTTCAAAGGGTTCGTTGTTAATATAGACTTTTCTGTGTTTGTATTCTAAGCTGTGTATATAATTTTAACGACGATGTATTCTGTTTCATAGTGTCTTTTACGTTTTATCGTCATATCACATTGAAACACAAGTTCTCGTACTATCACCGAAGTTAAGCAACGTCGGGCATGGTCAGTACCTAAATGGGTGACTACTTCAGAATGCTAGGTGCTGTAAGGTTAGATATACGCGTGGTGTGATGCAGAACGGCTCTCCGAGTTCCAGTTCTATTCAGTTTTGCGCTTAATTACTAAGGCATATGTCAATTAATCATTTATTATCTCCAGAATATTTTTAGAATCTAAAAAAATTGCTTTAAATAAGCTGCAACAGGTTGATAAGCCGTAAAAAATAAATCAATATAGTGGCTTTACTTCGTTTTCTTGTTTAGGCATTTTTGCAGATGACATTCGGAGTTCGCCATAAAATCCAAATAAACACTTTGCATATATCATACTTCATTTTTTATTGCACATTAGAGTCCATTTGCAGGAGCAACACAAACAGGATGCAAACGGCTGTTTGTGGATATGTGGAGGGAAGTAGGCGCATAAGTTTTTAAGTGCAATCATGCACATGTCTTTTCATGTGGTTACTTCTGTATATGCAAATTTACATACATGTGAGTATGTACAAATCTCTTCCCACGTGTGTGTATGCATATGCGCCTGTGGATATGCCCTTGTTCTCGTCTGTGACTGGGTTCCTGCGAATGTTTAAGGAATCGAGTGTGTGTGTGTGTGTGTGTGTGTGTGTGTGTGTGTGTGTGTGTGTGTGTGTGTGTGTGTGTGAGTGTTTGTGTGTGTGATTTATGTGCGCGAGTTCTATGCCCATGTGCACTTGTGGTATAAATGCTTATACACTTGTTTCTTTAGACGTGTATGTCTATTTTTTGCTAGACACGCTTCTGTGCGCGTAAGTATATGTGCCTGTTGATGTTTGCTGTTTTGCTAGTGCCCGTATACGTGTCATTCGTGTGCGCGTATGTTTTTCAGGTTGTCGTAGAAGTGAGGGACGTGTTTAAAACGCTGTCCTTCGTGTCAGGACAGTGGTGCACTTGTTTATTTGGGTAGGCAAACACCATCCGATACGTGTTGACCAACTTATGTCTGTTCGGACATCTTGATTTTTATATTAATAATAAAAAGAAAAATCAGGGTAGACATAGGCTGTGACTCCATTCATTGAAATACAATACAACTAAAAACACCATTTTGTTTTTTGTTTTTTCGCAAACGACTATTGGCAGGTTAATGATCCAACGGCGGTTAGAGAAATTCCGATTGGGAGATGAAAATACTGGACATTTGCTGAGAGACTGTAACAATCTTCGATCTCTTTCATTAACATTTAGAGATAATCTCTCCTCATTTAATTACAGTTGAAAATTTGACAACGGCTTTTAAGTGATAATCTGAAAAACTGAAGCTGCGTTGTTTTGAGATGCCCCCGATCATTGCGTTTACTGTAACCACAATCGGCATACAAAGCGGAATCGGCAAACCGATTTCAAACTAGTTCACTCTGCTTTCTTTCATTTACGCATAAATTTCCTTGAGAAAGGCATGAATCCATCTCTTCTTCCATGTATGAGTTAAACAGCAAAGGAAACTGTTAGCATTCGGTGAAACCCAGGCTAGTAAGCTAGCCCCGAAATCAAGGCCGTGTAGAAAGCATTTTTTTTTCATTACCTTTTTCCAAGAAGTTGACAGATTGCAGACAATATAGAAGAGTGCTATGACCACCTTAATCTTAAAGGGTCTCAGTTGCAAAGGTCACTGCTGGTGGGGCCAAAGGCCAAGCTCGTCAGAAGACATATTATGGAAATAGCAATAGATTAGCGACTGGATCGTCTGTGAGGAATCAATTGCAGGTTGGAAAGTAAGTAAGCACCCACAAGACCGCATAGATACTTTTGAATATTATCAGGCAAGTGAGGACTAGGCAGTTCTAGCCCAGATATACTCCATTTATTTTTGTTTGATCTGGCCCTTGTAAAGACAGCATAGCAGGTGAATCAGAATAAAACGACCATGATATGAATGAAACAGGAGATAGTATAAGTTGAAGATTATGTGGATGAGGATAGACTGTTGACGTGAAGTCGTTAAGACTGCAGTCTCCAGGGAAGCAATTCTTGCGAAATCGCTGTCTTAGCTCAACCTTCACCTTACATTTGGAATACGGAAGAAACGAGGATGATTCGACTCCTTGGAAGTAACGCGACGTATCCTAGCTGTAAATGTCTAAATAGTTGGACTAGTGTTAAATTATAGAGTTGTAACTTGGGTTCCAGATGCGTTTATTCTGCAGTTGTTAGCTGAGGCCTGAACACCCACCCAAGATTTTAAATCATAATGTTCACTCATTAATATAAGCATGGATTGTAATTGGAACTCTTTTTTCTGTCATCTTTTGGGAATTGCACTGCACAACCCATTTCTAGATTATCTCATGATATTGAATGTGAGAGATTTTAGGATAAAGGGATGGTCACGAAAATAAGGGTCAAAGGTGAGCGACATTCCACCACGCGTCCTGTTTTCATTTTTGTAGGGACAATATTAGCCGTTGTTTACAGCTGTCGACAATTTAAGCCTTACTGTGTCTTATCGCTGATATGATCGCTCTTATTTAACAGTGAAATTAGTTATAAAGACAAAGATTAAAAACTGCTAAGTCAATAAGGACAATAGACATGAAAACGCAACGTCAGTAATAAAAACAGAACTCTTAAAATATGCTTAACTAAATTGTAATACTGATTCGGGTATAAATTTCTGACCTGTCTATACTTCTGCGATTGTAATTATTTACACTGTTTACATTCTTCGGACACTGATCCAGTGAATACGTTGGTTGAAACCAGGGACTTGATCCAGAGGTAAACAAAAACTTGGAGGTTTGAGTTAAAAGGGGGAATAACTGATACTGAGATGCCCGGAAGAGGCATGGCATGTGGATCTAAAAACAATCTACCACAGTGGAGGAAATCAAGGGTACAGTTCGAAATTCTAGTCACCTCATTTTCAATTTTTCATATTATGCAATTCCTAAACGATGTTTACTAAATTTTCAAATAGGTTAATTATAATATATATATATATATATATATATATATATATATATATATGTGTGTGTGTGTGTGTGTGTGTGTGTGTGTGTGTGTGTATTTCCTTATATATATATATATATATATTTATATATATATATATATTTGGTTGGATTGATGTGAGTTTGTGACCCTGGGTTTCACGCTTTTGCGATCGTCAGACAAACATATGTATGTTTGGTATAAATTCGGATAATAGGTACATATTCTCATGCCTACATTTGGAGATTATCTCTGATCTTTTGTTTAGTAAATTCTTTACAAAACAAAAGATCAGAGAGGAAAATTATTCAGCGAAAAAATAGAAAAATGCTCTGATTGCTGATATGTATACATTCACGAGACATTCACAGGAAATTTTCGCTACACTTCCGATGTTTGAATTTCAACATACAAATGCGTATGTATATAGACAACAGCACACATATACATACATATGTCAAATCCCATACTGTCCACATATGTTTGTGTCTGTATGAGCCCCGGCGGACGAGCGAGTGTGTATGTGTCTGCGTACCTCAACGGGTGTACTGACATGCATCTATGTTTGCATTTTACACACACAAACACACACACACACACACACACACATATATATATATATATATATATATATATATATATATATATATATATATATTGTTGTGGAGTAAATAAAACAAACCGGGAAGAAAAAATGAATTAGGCAAGATGCCTAAAATAAAGAACTCAAAGTGAGTCGGTAAAAATCAGCCGCAGTCTGTCTCAAGATAGCGAAAAGACAAGACTTCTGTCATCGGTCAGTAGCGTGAGAAGACGCCCGTTTTCGGGCGGAGGATGACTCAGTCGGGCAGAGTGTGAGAAGACATCCGTCTTTGGTTTGAGGATGTCTTTGGATAGAGACTTGGCTGAGAAAAACGGACTAATTCTGTACCCGAGCTCGCTTTTGCGAGGCCTGAGTAAAATCTGACCAGTGGCCCGGATAGAAAAGCTCGTGTCCCCCTCAGTAAATATGACACTGTGTCACATCTAGTCCGCCCTGGGGCGACCGGTAAATACCAGTCAGTTGCAATATGTCCCAGTCTCGCGACAAGACCACTGTCTTCAGACAGAGGGAGGACAAGACATCCGTCTTTGGTCGCAGGATGACTCAGTTGCTGCTCTGTCTTCGGATAGAGACTCGGCTGAGCAAAACTGATTAGTTCTGTACCCGAGACCGCTTTTGCGGAGGCTGAGTAAATTTTGACCAGTAGCCCGGGTGGAAACGCTCGTTGTCCCCACAGTAAACTTTGTGTAGCATCTCTTCTGCAGTGGCGCGACCGGTAAATACCAGTCAGTCACAATCTGTCCCAGGTTGGCGACAAGACAAAACAAAACCTCTGTTTTCGGGCGGTGGGTGACAAGACCTCCGTCTTCGCACAGAGGTTGATTCAGTTTGGTTTAGGGTAGAGACTGAAAAAAAAACATACAATTTGGACTAAGGCAATTCGCTGTCTGTCTTGCTACTGGTAAGATCCCTGTCTTCGGACAGAGGGTGACTCAATCGGGGCTCTGTCTTCGGAGACTTGGCTGAGAAAAACAGACCAGTTCTGTACTTAATTATAGATGGAGGATGATTAATGTTTAGGGTGTATATACATAGGATTAGTATTGTTTTTTTTATAAGGTATATATACATTTTTCATTAATGAAAATTGAATACATACCTTATAGAAAACTCAATACTAATCCTTTATATATACACCCTAAATCTAATCATCCTCCATCTATAATTAAGCATATACCTTTATCTATTGAAAAGAGAATAAGTACAAATTCAGCAAATGAGAAGATTTTCTATGAACATATTTATTACTATAATAAAGCTCTAAAAGGTAGTGGCTGCAAAAGCCCAAAACTAACTAACATAAAAAATGAAAATGAAAAGCATAGAAAAAACAGAAGCAGAAAAATAATTTGGTATACACCCCCATACAACCAATTGGTAAAGAACAAGTTAAGACAAAATTCCTTGCATTAATCGTTAAACATTTTCCTAAAGATAATAAACTCAGTACTATTTCCAATAAAAAATACCCTAATATTA